TTTTTGACAATTTAACGGTTATAATTTATTAAAAAATAATTAATTAGTAAATATGATCCAATAAATTGTAACTATTAAATTAACAGAAATTAACAATTAAAATATAATAAAAAATAATCAGGGGTGTATTGGATTGATATTTCAAAAGATTTTAATGGATTATTTTTAGAAAAAAAAATCCATTAGGAGGCGTTTGGTTAAAGGATTTGGTTGAGATTGATAGGGAAATGAGAAATGAGCATCTAAGCTAACCATGTTTGGTGAAGGTTTTCTCACACTTACCCACTTAAATCAGTTTCCTGCATAATCAAGTTGCATATGTTTTCTCTCCATTTAGCCGGCGAAAGTTATCCTATTTGAGGGTGATATTGATAAAAAGCCGCCTAAATGCTCAGACTGGATTCTAAACAAAAGACGAGTGTACCCTCGCTGAGTGTGGCCTTTCCTAATATGTAGCCCCAGCTTTCCTTAATTTGGTAACTACACTTGCATCTCTTGGCACCACAGAGCCAAGCAGTATATAAGAACCTGCAGTGGTGTTCAGCTTATCCTTTGTTGCAATGATATCCTTAAGCAAAATGGGTATTCCATGCAAGCCTGAAAGAGACCCTGGTGCCTTAGCCTTTCTCTCTTGGTCAGCTGTGTCTGCTTGTGCTAGTGCATTTGGGTTCACCTCCAACACCCCTTTAAGAACTTGGTTTTGGGTTTGTATTTGTTTGAGGTAGAACTCAACTAGTTGCCTAGAAGTTAATTGGTTTCTTAGGAAAGCAAGTTGGAGATCATGCACGGTTGCCTCCTCTATTGAGAACCCCATAGCCGAGGAAGTTGATCTCAAACAAGAGAATGTGACTATAATCATTGGCGGACCCACTTGCGGGCAAATGCCCGCGAGTGCGGTCATAAATTTTTTGATTTTAATTTTTTTTTTTTTTTTTTGTAGATTGTTATTTGTCTCTTGATTCAATATATATATTAGGAGTAAATAATTTTTTAAGTCCCTAACAAAAAACATGATTCTCAATTTAGTCCTTTACAAAAAAAAATTAGTCTCGAGGTCCTTAAAAAATTTAAAGTAGATCAATTTAATTAAAATCGTGGTCCATCACAAATTCAAAAAAGACCTACACTAGTCCCACAGAAAGACCAAAGTGGGTCCATAGGGATCAGGTGACTAATTTTTTTTTTATAATGGACTAAAGTGAGGACCAAATTTTTTTTAGGGACCAAAAAGGATATTTATTCTTATATTAGTTAGCAACGTAACAACGTACGAAGATGATTAAAACAACGCAACAACGCACATTGATTAGAAAGAAAACTTATTCTTCCTCCCTTGTCACGTACTCATTTCCACGTTCTCTTCATCCTTTGTTTCCTTTTTTATTTTTATAAAAAGAGATGATTGATTGTAGGTCTGACATTCTCAAATAAGTTAATATCTAGAGACGAGACCTTCACTGTGATTTTGTTTTACTTCTGTATAGGTAGTGTTAACTTTTTTATTCACCACTATAAAATAGAAGGGATAGGTTATTCTACTTACCATTTTTTTGCCTACCTCTACCTACCACCCTCCAACACCGTTAGATCAGAATCTTAACTAACATTTATCTTTTTCTCTCTTCTTGAGATTTTGATCTAACGGTATTGGAGAGTGGTAGGCAAAAGTAGGCAGAAAAATGTTAGGTAAAATAACATATCCCAAAATAGAATGATGATGTATGGATGTACTGGAGTATATTCTCATATTTGTTTTGAAGGATTGATAAGATTTAGGGGGAAAATAATTGGTCAAACTATTGTCTGCAGCTTGTTATGGAAGCAACTAGATTATGAGCGGGTTCAAGCGTTGATTTAAACTTTTACATAAAAAAAAAAATTCTGGGGCAGCCCGCCACTGATTGTGCGGACATAAATTTTTTTTCCTGGGTCCGCCACTGACTATAATGACCAGAAAATAGAATCGGAAAAAAGTCAAAGAGAAACCCCCTTGAGCAAGGGTAGGATGCCTGATTGTTATTTTTTGAAAAGCAAGGTTATTTTGGTAAAAATACTTTTTTTCCCATCTATATTTAACCAAAAGCCAAACATAGACTTTACAAAAGTTACCTAATTTCCCCGGTAAATTTTTTTCCAACCAAACAACTATTTTTACATTTTTCTACCAAACTCACTTTCCAACAATTTCCATAATAATCACATTTTTCTATGATTCATAAAAATTTCTCTTCAACCAAACGCCCCCTTAGTATTCAATTTGAATTTTAAAAGATTGAAAAAAGTAACGTAGTATTCGATTAGAATTTTAAAGAATTATTTTAGAGTCCGTCCGAACCCGTTGGTATTCAATCAGAATTTTAAATAACGGGAAAACAATTTGTGGTAGTCAAAAATCTAACGATTTTAATGAATTTTCTATTGGTGTGAATTTTGTGAGACTTTTTAGCGAGAAATATAAATAAGATGCCTCTCTTACAATCTCACCCTAACTCCAAAGATTGTTGAGATTTTTCTATTGTAGTGTCTTCTTCTTCCTTTGGTGGGTTGACCTGCTCAAAATCAGGTTCCACCATAGGAGCTTCGTCAAAGATCAAAAACAACGAATTTTTTTAGCGATTTTAATCACAAAAAAACCCAGAAAAAACAAACAACAAAATTTTATTATAATCCATCTCAAAAAATCGTAGATTGTATTTTTAGAGCTTTTGTAAGTTTAAAAAATAATTTTTCAAGATATGGATCGTGATTTTTCTTGGCACAAAAATATTTAATTTTTATATTAAAAACAATGGGAAAACAATAGAGGGAACAAAAACCCTCAAACCAAATTTTATTTTACATAAATTAAACAATATCAATTTAAAGAAAGATGTAAACTTTTTCTATATTTCGTAATAATACATTGATGAACCAAATTCCTTCGCTATAGAAAACGATTTCAAATAATTTTTGTGTCAATAGATAACTAAAGACTTATTTTTCAATAGCCCCAAAGCAATTTAAGTTCTCAACGTATCGGTTGAAAATAATTTGGAAATTTTTCTAAACTTTGATGTAATAAAATCCAAATTCAAAATTTTCTTAGAATACTCAATGAGAACGTGAATATGATATATGGTAAGAAAACTCTCATCACGTAGAACAAAAATCCCAAAGTTTTCAAGATCAATTGCAAAAAAATTCGAACGAAATTTTATCATGAATTTTAGGTTTTATATGCAAATTTAGAATTATTTTAATAAATAAAAAAATTGAGTTTTATAATCATATATGCATAGCTCTGGCCTCTGATACCAAATGAAGAAAATAATTTTTAACTCATTAGTCAAACTCAAGAGCAAGAATAAGAAAATGTTAATGCATGGAGGACTAGTATAACTTTAGACATGTGGAGTTGTTGCTTAGTAATTTTGAATGTTTTTAAATAAATATATTATATTTTACTGATTGAGAAAATTATATTATGTTTTACTTTTTTTTTACTAATATCATTGTATTTCTTTGTTTTTTTATTGACTCTTGTAAATTTGAATGTTTGATAAAAATTCATATATTTTTTTAAAATCTTATAAATTCATATTGTCCTTTCAAATCTTATAAATTATATTAAAATCATTTAAAACCTAATTTTATGAAGTCTTAATTGTAAAAAAAGATCTTTTAGAAAATTCTTTAAAGTCCCTCCAATTCTAAATAATCTTTAAAAATTGGGGTAGAATATTGTAACAATCAATTAGTATTACTACCAATATTACCAGAGACGGATCCAAGTACATGAGAAGGGGGCAAGTGCCCACCCTTGAAATATGATCTGAAAATACAAAAATACCCTTCTTTTAAAATTCTAGTTTTTACAATTTAATTTCGGGGTAGGATATTACAACAACCAATTAAGGTTACTACCAATGTTACTATCAATCAATTTCACCGTTAGATCGTTTATATTGATCCAACGGTTATATTTATTTCTATCTTTGCATGGTTATGATTTCTCATATTTAATACTTTATATTTATTTTCACCTTTGTGTGGTTATGATTTCGCATATTTAATGCTTTTACATTAAATATATGGATCATAATCATACAAAGATGGAAATAAATATAATCGTTGGATCAACATAATCGATCTAGCGGTCGATCTAACGGTGAAATTGATTGGTAGTAACCTTAGTTGGTTGTCACGATATCATACCCCTCTAATTTCCCTTCTTCTATTTTATTTTCCAGTGAGTTTTTTTTTCTCCTCCACCTTCATTATCCAAATCTAACAGCAGAGAGCTCTATTCCAGACCCATCATTTGCATCTACACACTGATTCATCTCCTCTCAAGCCTCAAATACCCGTTATTGGAAGTTGGAACATTTGCTTCTTCCTGCATGATCGGTCCAGTTGAGTCGCATTCCATCCAGATCTAAATTTAAACCAGACCCAGCCAACCGACAACTGCTTGCAAGTTGCATTCCAGACAAGATCTAGATCTATATGTACTTGAACTTATTGAGTGTCCACCCTTCGTTAATTTTCTAAATTCGCCACTGAATGTTACTACCAATGAATTTCACTGGTAGATCGATTATGTTGATCCAACGGTTATATTTATTTCCATCTTTGTTTGATTATAATTTTTCATATTTAATGTGAAAACATTAAATATGAAAAATCATAATCATACAAAGGTGAAAATAAATATAAAATATTAAATATAAAGAATCATAATAAAAATAAATATAAAATATTAAATATAAAGAATCATAATAAAAATAAATATAACCGTTATCTAAAATTATTTGATAATAACATTATTATTTGATTGTTATAATATCTCCCCCTTTCAAATCTTTTTAAAATGCTAATGCAATACATCTTAATATAACATGATCCCTCACAATATTTGGTGGAATGTAGACTATGTTTAATAATCCAATCCATGAGCAATGTAAACTTGTAAAAAAAAAAGAAATTATTAAAAGAAAAAGAAGAAGACAGTAACAAAGTGAGGTTAACCGAGTAACGAAAGAGGTAGGAAAGTCTGAAGTATAAGCATAGAAGAAAACTTAGGATTTTAGTTTGGTGTCGGGATCCAACACAGAACAATACGATGATGAGGCTTTTGATGGTTTTTGGTGTTATGTTGTTGATCCACTTTTGTCGTGCTGAGCCATTCTCTGTGGATGGGAAGGTGTTAGTGCTCGACGAATCCAACTTCGATTCCGCCATATCCTCCTTCGATCACATCTTGGTTGACTTTTACGCTCCATGGTGTGGCCACTGCAAGCGTCTCTCTCCCGAGGTACCTACCTTATCTTTCTTCTCTTCTCATTCATTCCTCTCATGGATGTTTTCAAAGTTTTGATTTTGATCTGAAGCCCTCTTAGAAAAAGTAATTTTTTTTATTTGGTTCCAAAATGTGGGTTTCATGTATTTTTATTGGGTATACATGATTTGGTGCTGGTTGTTTCAACATGATCTTATTTTTGATATACTATATTTAATGCATCTCATAAGATTGATTTATTTTATTTTATTTTTGTGGGGTGTTATTGATGCACTTTGGGAGTTGGATCCATGGTTATCACTGCTTATTCCTATTAAATTTGAACTTTGTCAAGGGTTACTGAGATAGAAATAGACTTGTAAGTTGTAATTCTACATTGCTATTCATGTTTAATATTACTTGATAGGAGATTCCCGAGTAGCATTTATGTTTCATTTTGTGTCAGGATAAAAGCTGTGATTTTCTGCTTGCAGTTAGATGCAGCCGCGCCTGTACTTGCAGCCTTGAAGGAACCCATTATCATAGCAAAAGTGGATGCAGACAAGCATACCAGCCTTGCAAAAAAATATGATGTTGAGTATGTTTCTGTGGCCTTGTATATTACTTGTTAAAATCATCTTTATTTCTTACTAAGATGTAAGTGTTGCATTTTGGGGTTTAGAAATTAAGGATAAAAATGCTTTTATTACTGGAAACGAACTTATTCAAAACTTCTATTCTGTGGTGTAGTGCGTATCCAACAATTATGCTGTTTAATCATGGCGTCCCCTCAGAATACCGCGGACCAAGGAAAGCAGATTTACTTGTTCGTTATCTAAAGAAATTTGCTGCTTCTGATGTTGCCATTCTTGATTCAGATTCTGCTGTGAATACGTTTGTTGAAGAAGCTAGCACTTTTTTTCCAATATATATAGGTTTTGGGTTGAACAATTCAGTGATAGAAAAGTTAGCCATAAAATATAAGAAAAATGCATGGTTTTCTGTGGCAAAGGATTTTTCAGAGGATCTCATGGTATTGTATGACTTTGATAAGATTCCTGCACTGGTTTCCCTCAATCCAGTATACAATGAGCGGAACACATTCTATGGCCCCTTTGAAGGTTAGTTCGTACATAGATAATTGACTACACTTAACAGCTATATATTTTACTTACCAGTTTGTCCATCTCACTTACTTGAAATGCCTTTTTGTTGATTTTGACATACCCAGGAATGTGTGCTGGCATATGCTACTTTGATAGTGAAATGGTGGTTGATTTTGTTTTGTATTTTTTTTATTACAAAAGAAGAAAGTTTAGTTGATTTGCTTAGTATAGTATTTTCTTTAAGTAGGGGCTTATTAGGTGGTGCGTGCTGTTTTATGAAGCTTATTCTGGCAAACATGCTTGATGGACCGAGACATGTTGATATATGTCAAAGATCAACTCTCCCAAAAGCTTAAGCTATTAGGTAGAGAGCCAAGAATGATTTTTATGTCTCTAATACACCCCCTCACATAAGATTGTTGGGCTCAAAGCATAGACAATGGAAAGACTCATTTAACCTAATGCTGAAATCTGACTTCATTATGAATAATGGGGATGACATAGATCAAACTCTTGACCACTTAGTCAAAGAGGCAACAGTTTGTCAGAAACCAACTCTACTAATAGCTAAATCTAATAGGTAGCGTCCTAAGAATGATTTTTATATCTCGAAGACTCTTAACAATATATATTGCGACTGTGCTGACTTCACTCTTTTATTTGTCAAACCTTATTTAGATGTGGGGAAGTGTCTCTATTGAACGAAATATAAGTGTCAATCTAGTGTTTATAATCATTAGTAGCCAATCTACTATGTACAATCATTTCTAACCAATTTTTAAATACTTGATTTGGAATCTTATGAGTGAGAGTTTAGCCGTCAGTCTCACTGGTTCTTTCTGAAAGTTAAGGTTAGGCTTTTTTTTTTTTTTTTTTTTTTTTTTTGTGGAATGCAGAAATTAGCAGTCTTGATGTCATCTTTTATTGCATTTTAAGATAGCTTGGAAGCTTTGGAGTACTCTTTTTACTAATTTTGGTTTTGTCTGGATATTTTGGAGTACTTCCTTAGACTAGAATGGTAGTGGAATATGTTTATCTTTGCAACTTATATGGGAGGGGGTGACTTTTATGGCTTCCCTATATACTTCTACTCTTGGTTTTTTTTAGGAGGTTTCTTTGGCCTAGACCCAACTATCTTATAAATCAAACAGGGTATGACAATATTACATATGGAACTTGACTGAAGCTGAAATTTAAGGCTAAGCTTAACATATAATAGGTTCATCTGAAATGCCTTTCTTGTTTCAGGGTAGTAGGTTTGAGAACTCAAATAGTTCAGTGATGGTTTGTTTACTTCTAAATAAAATCTCAGCTTGAATGCCAATTATTAATCTAGAATGCTTTTCTTGCTTCACTAGAAGTTACTATGGTGTTGTGAGCTTATCAATACTTCTTGAATTATACTGTAATATATTTTCTTTTTTCTTCTCACATTGTGTTATGTTGGAATATATTCACTTTTGTTCATATACTCTTTACATGTTTTAACTTTGATATATCATTACAGAAATTTTTTGATGAGTTTTTTTTTTTATTTTTACCCCATGAAGCAGAGGAATTTTTGGAAGATTTTGTAAAACAAAACCTGATTCCTTTAGCTGTGCCTGTATCCCATGACACACTTAAGTTGATGAAAGCTGATGGTAGGAAAATAGTTTTGACAATTGTTGAGGATGAAGACGAAGAAAGATCACGGGAACTGATTAAGTTATTGAAAGCTGCTGCATCTGCAAATCGGGACTTAATATTTGGTTATGTTGGAGTTAAACAGCTGGAAGAATTTGCTGAAAATTTTGATATTGGGACTAAACTACCAAAAATGGTCGTTTGGAATAAAAGTGATGATTACCTTACAGTAAGTCAATGATTTTTTCTTGAAAAAAGTTATTTTAGTTTATCCTAATTGTAGTTCTCTTATTGCTCTCTGTCTTTTTTTACATGTCTGGCTTCAGGTTTAATTTCTTTTTTTCCTTATTCTGATACTCCTCCATTGCATGTCTTATTCTTTTCAATTTGGATCTATATGTATATACTTGTGTATTTTCGAGATGACTGTTGCAGAAGAAGAAAAATGTCATATTCTGGCATTCATTTCACATGAGTAGGCATCTATGATTATATATGCATAGGGTACACCAGCATTCTAGTGTGGAAGTGAGGATTTAGATACCCTGGTATTAAATACCTGGAGTTTAAGATCTTGATGATTGGTGTAGCTATTAAACTTTGTTTATTTATATAGCTGGTATCCTGAAGAATGAAATTTTGGATTTCCAGATATCACACATTCCCATAACCCCAGGATTCCAGACATTGGTTATGGGTGAGGATCTGTGAGCATACCAAATGCCTCCATAATGTTTACTACTTTTAATCTGCATCTCCTTTGATCGTCAGTTCGAGGATTGCTTTGTGATATTTGACCTCGAATCCATGTAACTATAGGATCTTCTTTTTGAAGGTAGATGGTGTAGATGGGATTTTCCACGTTTTTGTCATTTTTAAAAATAAAATAAAATTTCAAGACCACCAAACTTGGGGTTTGTTCATAAGATTTCCTAGTATAGACATATCCAGCCGTGTGGGAAGTGCATCAATCTTTGTTATATGCACATAATGGTCATAACCTATTTGGACAAGTGATTATTAGAAAATTTGTTCTAACAAATTGAACCTCTGCTCCTCATCTTATCTTTCTTCCTCTCAAGGCTTTTGTCTATATCTCAAGGAATCGTATGTTGTCAATTTAATTGTCATTTGGAGCTTTTATCAAATCTCAACTACAAGTCTTCATTGTTATGTCCTTGTCACTTCCTAACAGTGACGCAGTCGTGTCAGAAATTTTTCCATATTCTATGTTTTCCTTATAACCTATACACCGTGCTTATCGGTTGTAAAGGATTAAAATGCATTTGTTCATGGTATATTGTCAATGTCAGTTTCATTTCGAACTTTCAGATACATCATTTTACCCTTTAACTAATTCACTTGATTAGTTGACTTCCAAGTGCTGTGACTATCATGATAACATGGATGGTTTATATCAAGACATATTAAATTAAATCTGCTGATTGTTGTTTTACATTTGTACTTAAATTTCCACAATGTGGGAAGCCAATACCCTTTTTTTTTATATAATTTTCAGGTTGATGGTTTAGAAAGCATTGAAGGGGAGGATCAGGCAACACTAATCACTAAATTTCTGGAAGGATACAAGGAAGGAAGAACCATAAAGAAATCATTTAGTGGGCCTTCACTGATGCGATTTATCAATAGATCTTTTGACATTAGAATGGTGTACATCGGTGTTTTTGTGGTCGCAGTGTTGATGCTTATTCAGACCTTCAGTAAAGGAGGTGATGATTACCATAGAGTACCAAATCAAGATCAAGTTGATCATGCAACCAGCTCTGTTTCGGAAGTTGAAAGCAAAGAGTATAAAGCAGGAGACAAGGAAGACTGAATTAACGCATATAATGATCATCAAAATGTGAGAAAATAGTTAGCTTTAGAATTACCATACCTATTGGTATGTGTAAATATTTAGATTTTGTGTATTTCCATAATTTTGAGTACTGTCCAAACTCTTGCCTTCTAATTGACACGTTTTCTTTAGTTATTTCTTTACATTAAAAGGCTTATTTGTTATTTCAAAGATTACAGTGATAAGATTGTTAACTTTATTATTATTTGTATACTTCCTTCTGAAGTTATTGCAGATAAGTTATCTGTAGTAAGCTCAATACGACGTCGTTTTGGGACAGAAATCATAATATTTTTGTAATTTTAATTTATTTTAGGGTTATTATAGTCTTTATAATTATTTTTTTAATCTTTTAATTTTAAAACGACGTCGTTTTAGGAGTAAATGCAGATAACTTATTTGTAGTAATTGCAGAAATATTTTTTGTATAATTATTTATTTAACTTGTCGGTATGGATAGGTCATCCTCCTTGTTAGAATTGAACAATGCCAATATGAATAGACATAGATAATCTCCAAATATAGAGAGTAAAACCTACTTTTCATCCTTCGCAATTATACCTTTTCACCGAAAGTTATCAATGTAGTCATCACTTAATATCAAAAAATTTGATGTCTTCATTCATTTTACTACGTCACTGTTAATAGTTTGGCTTTGCTCTTAGATTTAAAGAAAACAATGTTTATGTAAAACTTTTATTACTTAGCAACATTGCCAACTTCAAAGTTGGAATTTGAATCAATCTTCAATAGCTAAACAGTACTGTTTCTTTATTGACATTTTGTTCTAGAAAACATTAACTTGTCAACATAGTTCAGCTCACTTGAATGATTTGATAAGACTTTGCAATTTCCGTGTTTATTGATTTGAATCTCCGTTTACTTGAAGTTTTACTTGATAATCATTCTTCCATCAAGAAAATTCTCAAGCGTTCATGAGCTAGTTGAAGAGCTTTACTTCAACGAAAAATATTCTCCGTACCATGCAACAACCTCTTACCAATAATATTGAACGAACTTCTTTTAATAATAATAATAATAATAATAATACCTGCAACCTAGGGATAAACCATTATCGCCCATAGAATTATTCCAATAGATAGCGACAAAATAAACATAAACCAGAAAGACAAGGACAAGTGGATACTTGGTCTAAAGGTGGGGTTGGTACCCATTTTTCAATAACTTCTAGTATTTACAAAAATAGCTTTTAAAGGAAAAATTATATAAATAACCAATTAGATATAATTTTGTTTATGACACGATTTATTGCCTATTTGGATAGTGACATAATTACGGCGGCGGTGAAAAAATTGGATTAGCAGACTACTTTAAGAGACTATATGGTACAATTTTTTTTAAGCTAAAATTTATTTAGTAATTATATAAAGTTATTTTTAAAGGAAGGGAGAACAAATGATTTGTTATTAAGGTAAATTATTAGAGTAAATAATAAAACGTATAAATAAAAGTTTAGAATAAGGGTAAAATTAAAAAATAGATATTTTAAAACTGAAAAAAAAATTGATATACATCTTAAAAAAAATTCTTTCCGGCAAATTTTAGCTTTTTTTTTCATTATAAAATATTTTTATGATAAAAATATTTATAAAATTATATTGGCTAAATTTCTATTTATAATGAGAAACGAAGATAAAAATAAGAGTTTTCAAACAGACACTAATTTGTTTATTTTAGTTTATAGATCTTTAAAATCAAGATTGCATTAAGTAGAATTCACTTTGAATTGATTTTGAGAGATGGAATTTTTTTAGTGCAAAATTCAAAAAAAAATATTTTTTTTTTAATTTACATAAATTAATATTTTAAACTCACTTTTAAAATATCATTTGCAAAAACAAATTTATTTTTTCAACACCAATTATTTCGAAATCAATTCTATCGAATTTAAAATAAACATGGCTTTCTTATTTACTGTTATAATTTTATTTTATTTTTGGTAAACTACTGTTATAATTTTTAAATTATGTTTCTCAACTAGTTATTTGCTTTAGTGTTAAAAATGAGGAACAATAAAAATATATAAGTTTGACAAAATATAGATAATGCGAAAAAAATACTGTAAAAAATTGTGATTTTGTGAAAAAACATACGTAATTCTTATAATAAATTTATCAAGAGTTATTTATAATTGTTTTAAGGGATATATTATATTTACAAATTTTTTGTTTATAAAATCTTATAAACTAAACTATGCATTCCCAATAATGTATTCCTAACTGAGTTTATTCTCATAAATACATAATTAAATTTGTAAAAAATTATATTAGTAACGCAAATTTTGTAAATAATGCAAGAGCATTTACACATAATAGAAAAAGAATACTAATACATAAAAAATTTATAAATGTAACTTTTTTTTATTTTAAATTAAAAAACCTTGTTACGAGCTGCATTGTTTTGTTTCCATGTAATTCTGCTTAGAGTAAGAAGAAAAATTGTTACTATAAAAATAAATAGGGAAAAATGTTTATCCTTTAAAATGACACAACTTATATCATTTTACTCTCACAAAGAGGTGGGACCCACACCTTATTTTTTTTGTCAACTCTCTCTTCCTTCATCTATCTTTTTCTCTCTTAAAATGACACAACTTTTCATCTTTTAAAATGACACATTTTGCCCAAAAAATAATAGCTTAAGTTCCTAAACATAAGTTGGCATGGCGGCAGATAGCTACACACACAAATATCTGCCCAGCCCCACTCCCTAATATCCAACAGGCCTACTTGCCTCTAAATAAAAAAATTTAGTATAAAAAATTTAGGAAAAGGAAGTTACTTTATTCTATGATCAAACATGTCATACGTTATGATGAAAAATACAATATTATGTTCACCCAAAAAAGAAAAAGAAAAATACAATATTACAACTAATATATAAATTAATGTCCACGTATAAAAATTAAATCCAATATTTTTTTTCGAATGTTAGAATATTCCATTTATAACTTTACCCAACTGCGATTGATTTTTTTTTTTTTTTTTGAGAAATAATCTTTTAATTTCAACATGTCCAAAGACTAATCCAGACCCCCTTGTGGCGGTGAGATGTACAATCCCATTTTTTTAATTAATTGACAAGATCATCATTGATAATTTTTTATTTGATAAGATAATAATAAGATTGAGACATATATGATTAAATAAAATATAAACGATAATTTAAGAAACAATATTTTTCTCATTTTATAATCGTTTTCGTTTTTTTCCGTCACATAATAATAATATTCTCTTTGATATTTACCAAATTTCACATCAAACATGCTTATCTACAAAGTTCACTTTGGAAATTTAGTAGATACACTGATTATTTTTTTGTAATACTCTGATATTTTATTCCCGTTTTTGCTCTGATAATATTATTAACGATCTATTGAAATCGAGAGCAGATAGCATCAAGGAATAATGCTACTGAATTGTTTTAGAGATGGAAGCTGATGTATCCATTATTTTTGCTGTGTTTTCAAAACCCTAAATTGTAAAAATCCCAATTTCTCCTTCTCTCTTTGCTTTGGATGCTTTTCAACAACAAAAAATTGTGCTTTTCGAATCTTTGCTCTGATGGGTACCTCGAATCTTCTCTTGTTTTTCTTTTCTTTGGTGGGTTTGTGTGCTATGGCCACTGCCAAAGTGGTGTTGATTGGGAGCAACATCACTCTCTCCTTCGATGATATTGAAGCTAATTTCGGTGAGTTTTCTGGGTTTTCTTGCCCAAGTTTGGAGTTAGTGTACTTTTTATATAAGCTGCTTTGGGTTATTTGGATGAGATTTTGGTTCTTGGGCTCATGAGAGTATTGAATATTCCAACTTGGGTAGTGCTTTGGTGGAGCTGTGTCAGTGGGAAACTGATTCAGCTGAACTTTTTATCATGTTAGAAAGTAATTTCCCATCTGAAGAGGAAAAAAGGAAATTGTTAGTAGATGGGAGAAGAAAAGGTTGACAAAAGGTTTTAAAATGATACTAGAAGATATCTAACAGTACACTCTGATGTGTGGTATGCAAGTATGGAAGAAGGTGGTATATACTCAAAAGCAGAGATGCCTGCCATTCTAAAGTGAAATTCTAGATTTTTGTATTATTATGTTTGTGCTTCTTTTGGGGAAAAAATAGTGAAGAAGAACTTAAATTTGATGTTATATTGTTGTTCTATTGTTATTGTTTTGCATGTGGTGTTGGTGTTGGTGTTGGTGTTGGTGTTGGTGATGATGTTAATTTTATCTCAATCTCTTTTTGTTGACATGAAAGGCTTTTGATTTCAGCTCCGACAGTCAAAGGTTCTGGAGAATATGGGGTCTTATATTTGGCAGAGCCGCTTGATGCATGTACAGAACTGACGAATAAAACTGAACTACTCTCAAATGTGAGTTCTCCTTTTGTTTTGGTGGTTAGAGGGGGATGTAGCTTTGAGGAAAAGGTCAGAAGGGCACAAAATGCTGGCTTCGAAGCTGCAATTGTCTATGACAATGAAGATGGGGGTGTCTTGGTTGCAAGTAATGACCAATTCTTACATATAGCAATAATTTGTTGTTTATAATTCTCTTCCAACATGCAATTGCCATTGAGCTTATTTTTCAGCAATCACCAATTATAATGTGGGTTGTAATGTACACCAACTGGTTTTTGCAAAATAGTTGTGTGTAGATTAGAGAATCCATCGTTTTGAAATTGTGAAAGCTGTAGATTTCACAGTAATTGTAATCTGTTGAGATATATAAAACCATTAATGTAGCCTCTTCCAACAGTTTAAGCTTTTGGGTTGAATTGGTTCTTTACATGGTATCAGAGCCTCGTGTCCCGGGTTCGATCCTCACCGCCGCCCACTTTCTTTCAAGTGGAATTTCTTTGTTCGCACAGGTAGGTGGGCCTGTGCATTGTCCACCCTTCAAGCCCAGTGGGCTCTCGTGTGAGGGGGCGTGTTGGGATATATATAACCATTAATGTAGCCTCACCCAACAGCTTAAGCTTTTGGGTTGAATTGGTTCTTTACATAATCCACCAGTGAAGCTTTGTATGTGAGACTTCAATTCGGCTATTTTGAGATTCATATAACTGAAACATTTGTTTCCCGCAATTATATAGCAAGCTAAAAAAAACCTTTAGAAGTATTTTTGAATTTAAACAGGAGTGGAGCTCACTGTCATCTTCTGAACCCACTAAAACACGGCTGAATTGATTTTGATCATGTAACTATGTGAAGTGGTCTTTCACTGCTGCTATGTGAGTGTTTGAGATGTTTACAGCAGATGCTCTGCAGTAAGAATTTAAGAAGGGATAGGACATGAGATAAATAAGTTTCTCTCTATACAGTGTGGGTGTCCTCCAATATCAGATGGGGAGGGGAAATTTTCAACTTTTGTCAACTTTTGTATTTTTAAATTTCTATGAACCTTTTGAGACTACTGAACCAAAGAAAATCTCTTCTAGGTTTGTTGGTTAGTATCTTATGTTAAATGGAATGTTAGAGAAAAATTATGTTCATTGTTCTCATTAGAGGTGATATTCTTTTCCTTTGTTGAAATTGGGATGTCATCAATCATTGAAAAACGGTCTGGAAAGCTTCAAATGTATTAGGGGTTTTAGGTATGGTAAGTTGATGAAGAAGTTGATGAAACATATTATCATGGTAAAGCTTATGGAAAGAATGACAACCCATATACAATATATAGGTTTAAAATTAACCCTTATCAAGCATGTAAGTTCTATAGTGAAAGAAAGGCTATTGAAAATAATTTATTGTTGGATAGATTTCTTGTTTTCTTTCAATATATCTGTATATGTATGCATGAACCTACGTCACATTGTGTGAATTTCTAATTTGCAAATATTTTGAATTTCAGTGGCAGGAAATTCTGCTGGTATAAGAATACATGCTGTATTTGTATCAAAAGCTTCAGGTGAAATACTGAAGAAATATGCTGGGTTGACTAATGTGGAAATATGGCTCATTCCAAGTTTTGAAAACTCAGCATGGTCTATCATGGCAATTTCATTTATATCCCTATTAGCTATGTCTGCAGTTCTGGCCACTTGTTTCTTCGTCCGCAGGCATCGCATAAGAAGAGAAAGGCCTCGAGCTTCTCGTGTGCGCGAATTTCATGGTATGAGTAGTCACCTGGTGAAAGCAATGCCAAGTTTGATATTTACTGCTGTTCTGGAAGATAATTGTACATCAAGAACATGTGCTATATGCCTTGAAGATTATTGTGTTGGAGAGAAGCTTAGGATTCTTCCCTGCTGTCACAGTAAGTCTTCCCATATCAAACTTGAATTCTTTTTCAAATCAAGTGTATTATTTTGTTGGTTTGATCTAGCTATGGTGAACACTGATGTAGTGGGAGCATTGGTCTGGTTGAATTTCTTGGCACTGGTGCCATTGATTATTGGATCTAACGTTGCTCCTGTGTTGAGACATACGTTAGCTTCATATATGGTGTAACTTGTAAGCCTCTGGTAGTATAATATCAGTTACCAATACCTGGAAAATAAGGATGTCATGATCATGAGGCAGGTTATGGCTACTTTCCCAGCCATATCTCTTAGGTTTCATTGAAGCTAAGTATACAATGAATATGTTGGTTTTAAGGTGGTAGTAGGTCATGAAAGAATTTACATTGCTTGGTGACCTCAAATGGAAATCTCTGTTTGGGGGCCCACTCACGCTTCATGTTTCAGCTTCTCCCACCCTTCTGTTCCTCCACAAACTATGGTTGATGTTTTATTGTTTGAACTGCAGTGTTTGCCATACCTGTCCTTTAACAATGAGAGTTCAAATCTCAGTAGCATCACTTTTGACTATATTGTAGCAATGACGTTAACCCCCACACTTGGGGTCTGTTTGTTTATGCTTTTCAAAAAGTGATTTTATGAAATAGTTTTTTTTAGAGCTTTTTTTAAGTAGCTACTAAAACAAATTTTCTTTTCTTTTCTTTTCTTTTTTTTTTTAAAAAAATCTGCTGATTATGTTATGGTTGGAGTTAAAAAGTTCTTTTTTCTTAAAAAAAAAAAATATATATATATCAAATGGCTATTAATCCTTGCTGAAATGGAATGCACAATCCCATAGTTGCTTTGCTGCATCAAATAAAGAAAATTACTTCTTTTTTTTTCGTGGAATCTGCAACATCTACAGATTGTAATTATTTTAACAAAAAGAAGTATTCTAATGGGATTTTTGAAAATGGACAATTAGCAGAAGTTCTATTTTTTAGATTCTACCCACTTGCAAATTGCAATTTCTCTTGTTCTTACTTGATTTTACCCATTTCTTTACTAATCCTGATAGGAGAATTTGGACTTGGGATTCTGCTGGATTATTTTCTTGCAAACCCCTTTTCAAGTTTTTAACTAATATACTGTTAGTTGTCGCCTTGACAAACCCATTTGGAATACAAAGTTCCCTCTTAGTTGTAATTAAGTTTTAATCAAGATATTATTTTTATTTTATTTTTCCTGTTTCTGTCTTAGCTCGACTGTTAACAAAGCAGTCAAATGTAATTTATTTATTTTTTTGGGTGGTTGAGGGGGTGGGGGACTTTGGGTTTAGTGTCATTGACAAACCTGAAGGGGTGGGAGTGTACTTTAACCAAAAAATAAATAATGAAGCCTTTTATGGAATCCTATTGCTTCTTAATGATTGTTGAATTATGCTCGAACCTTGAAACGCAGACACTTGCTAGTGTACCTTAAAAAGTCAGGAAGTACTCGTAATTAAACAAATGACTTAAATTTATAGGGAATCTTGGTCTGAGACTTACAAGTGGGATATGAAAATTGATTATTGATGGATGAATGCGTCAAATCCTCTCACACGACTCGACAGGAAAAACATTTAAAGAGCTTTCTAACTATAGACCCATTTCCCATATCCCCATGTCTAAAGTACCAACCCAAAGGATTGGAAGGTACAGATGATTGATCTTAGATACAAGATCCTAACATCTCTGTCATTAAGGTTTCTGGAAAAAATGAAAATTCCAAGAACTACTTCAACGACCTGTGTGAAAGTAGCTTATGGGGCATTATGAATACTAAAACTAAAAATTGAATGGTGGAATGCATAAGATAAAAGAGCTGTCTAGCTTTACTTCTATTCTTTGTATATTTTGTTTTGATAAAATGTTCATGAATTGATTTGAGCCTCCTTAAGGATGATATGAGGCCTTTATAATTTTCTTCTTTTCCTTCATTTTGGATGTAATATGTTTCCTGCTATTGATATGTCATTGAGTAACAAGAATAATCCCTGCAGTCTGTTCTGTATTTACTTATATATTGTGCATTACGTGCATATTAAATTATGACTTTGTTAAGGATTATACTAATTCTATTTTTTTGAGTTATTGGCAGAGTTTCATGCTGCCTGTGTGGATTCCTGGCTTACTTCATGGAGAACCTTTTGTCCTGTTTGCAAGCGTGACGCAAGAACCGGCTTAACTGATCCACCACCTTCAGAATCCACACCTTTGCTCTCATCGAGCCTGGCATCTACTTCATTTTCTGTCATATCTTCTGTGAGGTCATCATTAGCTTCATCTTCAGCAATACAAATAACACGGGCAACTTCGCAGTCTCCATCTGTTTCTCGTAACCACTCTTTAGCTAGTACCCCCTATGTTCAGCCATCTCTTAGGTCCTACCGTCAATCCCCATCCCTAAGTGTCAGCCGAAGCTCTCTAGACCTTAGGAATGCATCCCAAAGATCTCTAGCTTCTCACTTGAATTCTCCACTTTCCATGGGTTACCCATCTTTGTCATCTCTTAATTCAAGGTACTTGTCTTCACACATTCCAAGTCCTAGCAATGCTTCAGTAAGTTTTATGGGTTCATCCAGCCATCAACAGCATCCGCTCCGGCATAGTGAGTCAGCTGCGAGCTTCTCTCCATTTGCGTCAGCAAACTCCCTTCCGGAATGTTAAAATTGTCTAATCAGATTTTATCATATGATTCAGATGTCTGTGCTGTTGAAACAGAAATTGCCGTGGCCATGTGATGAATGGTGGTCTAGTTCCATGCTATGCTTTGGCATTTCCTACCTCTGTGTCTCCTCTGGCAATTTGACTTTCCCTCTTGGCGCCTGGTGTACATTGTAGAATCTTTGTGATGTTAGTTTTTTATTTACATGTGCTGAGTTGAGGTTCTTGCATTTTCAGGTTGGTGAGTTTGTGTTTGAATGTTGATGTTTTCAAAGTATAGTTAACTGCTAACAAGAGAAATGTTGGGATGTTTGGACAGATTGAAATTAGAAGAGATATTTATGTTCTGTCTAATGGCCAACTGAATGATGATATATTTCGTAATGCTCTCGAGTTACTATACTTGAGCATCTAATTGCAACAGTGAGTATCATTAGTCAATAACACATGTAAAATTTTCAGTGGATGTAGCTTTGTTGTTGATTGGTAATAGATATTCTCAAATGATGTCAGTTTTAAACCATGGGGCAGCGTGTGCCACCCGTGGGATACTTCCATCATGATAACCAAGACTTTTTCTTTTGGCACCAATTAATGGAAACAGTGAAACACTATCTTGTTATTCAGACATGAAGTGTTATGGCTAATTTGGATACTTGATCCAAGGAAAATTCATTAGCAAGACAAGTTAAATACCTTTTGGGACCTATAGAAAATTGAAATTTCTAGATTTTACTTTATTTTTGAGAGAGAGAATGCACAAAATTATTTCCTGAAATTCCAAAAATGATTTGTTTTCTTTGTGGATAAAGTATAAAAAAATCATATCATTCAAAATATTTGAATTTCACGAAGCGATTTTTGTATAAAATTATTAACAGTTTTTAAACGGTGGTTTTAGTTGGTTATATACTCATTTATGTGCGTGTACTAACTAATAAGATTACATAAACACTTTCAGCAATTTAAGTACTGATTAGGATAGGAAATAAAGATATTATATAAACATTGGATTATACAAAAGAAAGGGGGATATTATTTAACACAATTTTTTTAAAAAAAGATCATTTATATTTGTCGGTGATAACTGTTAAGAATAAGACCAACAGCTGAAGAGCTGGGACAAAAAGATCATTTATACTTGTACCCAAAAAAAAAAAAAGATCATTTATATTCTTGAAATTTAAGTCGTCGTACTCTTTAAATGATTTAGTGAGTCGGTGTTAACTTTAAAGATTTGAGGCATGACTCGCTAATCTTTTGTCGTAGTTGCATCATATTAACATCGTATCGAAGTTTTAAAAACCTTGAATTAGTGTTAATTGAGGTACAAATAATTGCTAGTGGGATCGTTTTTGTTGCCGCATGCTCTGATGGATGTCCTGCACATTACAAGGTAATTGGCCAAAGTCATCCGTATTCTGTAGATAAATCCACCCAACGTTAATTTATACAAGACACACACACACACACATATATATATATATATATCAAGAAATTATTCTTATATCATACAAGAATAAAAAAAAATTATTTTTAAATCATTGATCCATTGCAATTTAATTATTTATATAATTAATAAATTAGAGCCATTAAATATAAATATCATCAACCTCAAAACAACAGTTTTAGATAAGTTTATCTCTGGCCGCTCCAAAACTACTTCGTTTTGTTTATTTATTTTTTTATATTAATTGATTCACCTTTGAATGGTTATGATTTTCTTTTTCTCTCTTTTCTATTATTACCGTTGATCCATCTTTGTACGGTAATAGTCGGATATAAAGTTATCTCAAGCAGCCCATCTTTGTACGGTAATAGTCGGATATAAAGTTATCTCAAGCAGCTTGAGAAACGATAAGCCCATATATATATATATATGGAAACCGGAACAGACCGGATATGTCATTGACCCGGAATTGACCCGGTGAACCGGTATTAACCGAAGTTGTAGCCACTGGGATTCGAACTCGAGTCTCATGAGTTTACCCAACAACAACTTACCACTGGGCTGAGTTCGTTTGTTGGATAAAATGCACCATTTATATATATATATATATATATATATATATATATATATATATATATATATATATATATATAACACATATCATTTAATAGAATTATTTAAAAATTGCATCTAGTGGGAATCAAACCCTTGTTGTGAAGATATAAATTGTAGTATATACCACTAAGCTATATTTGGTTCTTGGTTCACTTGCACCAATTAAAATATTTATTATATAATTAAGTATAAAATATAAATTTATATACATATCCGGTTCATGCGGTTGAACCAGTAACCCACTGGTTGAACCAGTGACCCACTGACCCGGTACCCCGACCGGGTCGATCACCGGTCCGAGTTTAATAACATTGTGAAAAACCATAACCATACAAAGGTAGAAATAAATATAAAGTATTAAATATTGGGAATCATAACCATAGAAAGATGGAAATAAATATAGCCGTTGGAACAACATAATCGATTTAACGGTAAAATTGATTGGTAGTAACACTACTTGGTTGTTACAATATCTTGTCCATATATATATATATATATATATATATATATATATATATATATATATATATATGAGAAGGGTTATATTGACAAATTTTTATTTTTACAAACTTACAAATTACACTATGTCTGACCGGTAAGACTTCACTCAAGAGTGTCTTACCGGTCAGACATAGTGTAGTTTGTAAACAAAAAGTTTATAAATATAACATTCTCCTATATATATATGTATATATATATATATATATATATATATATATATATATATATATATATATATAAATATATGTATATATAGGGAAAAATGTTTATCCTTTTAAATGACACAACTTATATCATTTCAGTCTCACAAAAACGTAGGACCCACACCTTTATTTTTTATCAACTCTCTCTCCTCCTTTTTCTTTCTCTTTCTATCTCTTAAAATGACACAACTTTACATCCTTTAAAATGACACACACTTTTCTCATATATATATATATATATATATATATATATAGGAGGGATATTTTCACTACCAAAATTTTTCACTACTAACTTACTACCTATCTAATCACCATTAGATTAACATTTTCTCTCTCTTAAAAAACTTTTTAACATTCTCTCTCTTTGATCCAATGGTGATGTGATGGGTAGTAAGTAAGCTAGTAGTAAGAATTTTTGGTAGTTAGAATATCCTCACCCATATATATATATATATATATATATATATATATATGGCTTATTGTTTCTCAAGTTACTTGAGATAACTTTCAATGCTGATAAAGGAAGAGAAAAAAAAAAGAATCATAATCATTCAAAGATGAATCGATTACTATAAGGAAATAAAGGGGAAAGTAGTTCTCCTGTTATAGGAAAATTGATGCTCTCCCGCCAGTGAGAGATCGATTTGCGTGCAAACATTTCATTTATTTTTTCTTTTAAATCAGAGGGGCCCATTTAATTGTATCAGTTGGAAAATGTTCTCTTCTTCTGCCGCATAAGGAAGATGCAACCCCAGAAATAAATAAATAAAACATAATTTTGGGGTGACCGAAAATAAACATATCTCAAGTGGCTTAAGAAAGAAATATTTTCCTCATATATATATATATATATATATATTATTAGTGTTTCTCATGTTGTAAAAGAGAATTTTATCTCCTACACACACATAAAAGTAAGTGAAATTCATTTTTTTTCTTCTTCTCTTCACATGGCCCCACACATTTTTATGTGTGTATAAGAGATAATTTTATCTTCTATAACATAATAAACATTAATATATATACATAGGGGCAGGATATTCTTACATCGGTGTAAGAGTTAGAAGTCTTACATTCAATCTTGACCATTGATCAACTTGTATCTAATGGTTCAGTTTACTAAAAAATTAGAGCCCTTAGATATAAGTGACATCAACGAATAAGATTAAGAGTGTAACTTACACTGGTGTAAAATGATCCTGACCCATATATATATATATATATATATATATATATATATATATATATATATATAAGAATATTGTTTCTCATGTTGGATGAGACAAATTGTCTCCTGCAACACATAAAAAAATGGATGAGACCCTTATATTTTCTTTCTCACTCTTCTTCTTAGTGGGTAATATCAATATTTTTATGTGTGTATAAGAGATAATTTTATCTCCTATAACATAATAAACATTAATATATATATATACATATATATATATAAGAATATTGTTTCTCATGTTGGATGAGACAAATTGTCTCCTGCAACACATAAAAAAATGGATGAGACCCTTATATTTTCTTTCTCACTCTTCTTCTTAGTGGGTAATATCAACTTTTTTATGTGTTGTATGAGATAATTTGTTTCATGTAAAATGATAAACAATATTTTTTTTGTCTCTCTCTATATATATAGAAAAATATTTATGCAGTTACTGCTGATAAGTTATCTGCATTTGCTCCCAAAACGACGTCATTTTGGAATTGAAATATTAAAAAATTATAATTATAAAGACTATAATAACCCTGAAATAAATTAAAATTATAAAAACACCATGATTTCCGTCCCAAAACGATGTCGTATTGGGCTTACTGGAGATAACTTATCTGCAGTAAGTAACTGCAGAAAAAGCGAACATATATATGGCTTTAATGTTTCTAAAGTAAACGTAGATAAATTATCTACATTCGCTCCCAAAACGACGTCGTTTTGAATTGAAAAATTAAAAAATTATAATGAAAAAGACTATTATAACCCTGAAATAAATTATAATTACAAAGATACATTGATTTTCGCCTCAAAACGACGTCGTTTTGGGTTCAATGTAGATAACTTATCTACATTGACTTTAGAAAAAATGAACCCCATATATATATATATATATATATATATATATATATATATATTTATAGTTTTTTTAGATGTGAGTATATAGGATTTTTGCACTCGAAAAGCCTCTTAGAGGAAAGAAAGAAAATGGGGTTGAATTCAGAGATATTTATTGATAAGAAAGCTTGTGCGAGAAGATAGGATTTGTGCACACAATGTCGTAAGACGCAAGAAGATGTCCCTTCGTGGCCTTTACAGCGAAGGAGACAACGAAATCCCAGTAAATGTTATTAATTCTGCCATTGAATTACCTATCTTTAGTATTTAATAATTTTGCAAGAGTCAATTTTCTTTAATAAATTGAGACAGCTTGGGATTGAAGGGAAGACTTCCACAACTAGTGCGTGAGACTTTCCTAATTATCATTAAAATTGTGATGGTAATATGACTGTTTCACGATTGCATAAAATATTTTTTTTTCCGTTGAAACCAGCTGCATCAAATTTATTATTATAGCTGCCGTTCCTTCGTACTTTAATAAAATAATGTACGATTCGCTCGTACGTGATTGTTGTTATAGAGCAATCCTATAAAAAGCCATTTCACATAAAGAGCATGATCCACTTAAAATGAAT